CTTTATTCTCTTTTACTCTTGGGAATACTTTGATGATACATTTTACACCTATCAATATCCAAAGAAACACAATTAACAAAATATATTTTCAAACTCTCCCCAGCAAGTACTTTTGGACCAGTTGCTATATAAAATACTGGCTCATGTTATTAAGTAACCTACAAAATTCTATTTTTGACAGCTGTATTTGTCCTGCTAGTGATAAGAGAGCATGGTTAGTAACCCTCTGTTTTTTGAATTCTTGTTTTGCAAGTGTCTAATATTTACTATTAGAGACTGCAGTGATACAGCCAAGCAAAATCCTTCAAGTCCCAACTTAGGAAATACCCTAATATTTGAAATGATCATTTTATTGGTGTGCTTTCTCAATTGTACTAAACCTTTCCTTTATCTTCATGATTATTCAAGAATTTCTTTTTAAAAAATAAACATAAAACTTTTACTGTTGTCAAAAATCATATTTTTCGTCTATAGTTAAGACTAGGAAGACACGTACATTTACAAAGTTGGAGAACGTACCTGGTTCTCTTCTTAATCATTAAAGTAGACTAGCTTACTGATATATGAATAGATTCATATTCAGCTGTTACTAGGACCACAAAATCAGGAGTAACAGAAAAGGGCAAGAGATAGCTCATCTTCTTAGAAATTTAAGGCTACAGCAATTAAGGATTTGCTCACGAGCATACAACTTGCAAATGGTAGAGACAAGGTAAGCCACAGGTCTTCTGACTTGAAATCTGTGTGCTTTTCTGCACTTTACAGGGTAATTATCCAGTTCATTCAAAATACTTGAGCCTAGTCTTGTATATACCTACATCTTGACTATAAGGGTCAAATCTACATAACTACTTTTTATAATGTTAGTGTTCTATATCCCTGGAGAATTTCAGAGCCAGCAGTTCTGCTACCATTTATGAGAGTGAATCACATTACAAAGTTTGACCTTAAATAAAATAATACTTTTTAAAGATCATGGTTTAACAATTCTAAGTTTTGTAAATCTTGTCAGACGTTTTGACAAACAGAAGAAGAATCCTCTTTTCTAAATCTTGGCAAGATACCTAATCTCTTGTGTCTTGTTTTCTTCATGTGGAAATTGATAATGATCATAGGATCATACTATGTACAGCAATTATAGTGCCTAATAAATGTTTATGATTTTGTTAGTCTGTTATTATTATTATTTTTATTATGTGTGTGTGTGTGTGTGTGTGTGTGTGTGTGTGTGTGTACCGCCAAATCAGATCTGACTGGTACAGGAGGAAATTGTCCCTCCTTCTCCAGCAGAGCAGCTGGTGGATTCGAACCATGCAGTGCAGCTTCTTGCTACTAGGCCACCAGAGCTCCCCCTAGTCTGTTATTATTTTTTGTTTTATTAACTCCTTATGTAAATATTCACTATTAATACTTTCTTGGTATAATTGAATAATGTAAAATAAAAACATGAAAATTGATGGCTGATTTACCATATATTTTTAGAGGTATTTAATTGGAAAACATTATTTTTTCTTTGCATGCACTTTAAATATTCTTAAATCATAGCGTTGTTGTTGTTATATGCCATTGAGTCAGAACTGGTTCATATCTAACCCTCTGGCAGGTTTTCAGAGCTGTAAATCCCACAGGAGATTGCTCATCTTTCTCCCTGGGAATAGCTAGTGGATTGATTGTGCTTGCTTTGTGTTGGCACCTTACCCACTAGGTCACCATGATTTGTGAAATTGTCTCCATTGCTATTTGGATCTAATTCTTTACGGGGAGGGGGGATTACCTTCATACTGTTACTCAATTAAGTAATGTGTTCTCTTCATTGTAGTAATGTATTCTCTTAATTGTAGGAATGTGTTCTTAATTGTAGTAGTAATGTGTTCTGCAGCATTATTAAGTGATAACTTTGAATGGTACATAAGATTTCATTTGGAAGAGAATTTGAATATGAAGGAAACTTTTAATCTCTGTTGGATAGAGAGTTGAGAGAAGAAGCTGGTCCCAAATAATAAACAGGCCTTTACTGAGTAAACCTGAGAGGGACACCAGGTGACTGCATGCAGAGACCAGAATGGCATGCAGGCAGACCAAGACAGTTTCCTTTTAAAGGGGCTGTTAAGGAGATTTAAAGGCGATTGGCGTTTGCTCAGCATTCTGGAGGCAGGGTCCTGTCCAGATGTGAGCAGGCTCGGGGCCTTATCAGGATCTGGTCATCTAGCCACTTTAAGAAAACATGCACAGGATTTATCAAGACATTATCAGGCTTCCTCAAGGAATGGTCAGGCCTGGGGGAATTCATTATCTTACATGTTTCCAATAAGATCTGGGTAGCATTTTGTAATTTTACTGGGTCATAGAATGGGTAACTATCTCTAAGGGGCTAGAAGCTGATCATTTGTAGGTGTTAGGAATTCATTATCTTACATATTTCCAATAAGATTTATAAAAGCTCCCTAGAAGAAGGCTAAGGTGCCCTCCAAGATGGAAGAGATTCCCTACAGGGTCTAGAGGTCTCAACATCAGCTTCTAGTACCTCACAAGCTTTAAGGGCCAACCAGGCCCAAAGAGTTCTGTGGCAATGTCAGCCAAGGAAGATTTCCCACCCTCCCTCTCCACTGTTTTTATCTTATCCTGCTTTTTTAACCCCAACTCGGAAATTGCGGTTAGCTGTTCTAGTGGTGAAAGGGTAAAGCATGGAAAATAGAAATTACATTTCTACATACCTGAGAAAGGGTGGAATCTGAAACTTAGAATGCAATTAAGTTTTTATGATTTTACTAGACTAATCATGTGATTAGGGAGCTCTGGTGGCTAAATGGGTAAAGAGCTGTGCTGCCAACCCAAAGCAGGTGATGCAAATCTCCCCATTACTCTGAGGGAGAAAGATGGGCAATCTTTACTTGTACAATTTACTCTGAAAAGCCTCTGACAACCTGCTGGAGGGTCAGCTCCGAGTTGGGTGCAACTTAACAGCACAGAACATTAACAGTCATATCACCATATTTACCAGGTGACTTTTATCATCTGAAAATTACCAGAAATGTTGACCTAAAGTTCATCTGGGAAAAAGAACTAGTGCTCAGAATAAACTTAAATAGAGAGTTTACATGGCTTGGGGATTGTTTCTAATAGTCTGTTTTTCAGTACAATTTTTAGATACTCATAATTTGTATAATTACTTTATGCATTTAGTCTTGTGATATTGAATTATTACAATGTTTTCTTAGACAATTCTATACACATTTATATCATTATGTTTTAGATTATTAAAAAATATAATCCCAGTAGAGGGACAAGCCTATATATACATATTGACAAATTGTTTTTCAAAAAGGTTGAAATACAGTTCACTGCCGTTTTTTTTTTTGCGTGCATGTTTCATGGCAGCAAGAAACTAAAAAACATAATTTTTTAAATTTTATCACATTTAGGTATATGTACATTACAAAAATAGCAGTTTCTTTTAATTGTTCCTAAGCAGATATTAAAATATTATTATTCTAAATATATTTTTATAAACCAGAAATTAGACAGGTGTTTGTTAATTATAAAATACCTCTTGATATAGTAGAAATAATGCATAAAAGTTCGGTGTCAGTCTTTTGTATTGACGCACATTATTTTTTTTTAAATAAATTTTTCATTTATAGTGGTTTGTTTACAAAGTTCATATACAGTGTTTTTCACACTGAATCTTTCCAATTTCCTTTACCCACCTCTCCCTGCACTCATGAGATTGTGAGATCCTATGATTACCCCTCTGCCCGTGCTCACTCCTTTGCTCTTATCCTCCCCAACTTGGATCCTCATGCCCGTTTTACTAGTTATCTATTTCTACAATAATGGTCTTATATAGTATTTGTCTCTTTGGGACTGATTTAGATCACTTAGAACATTGCTCTCCAGTCCCTCCCAAGTTATGTAGTAATTTTTAAAATTTCTGCTTTGGCACATTGCGTAGTATTCCATTATGAGACTGTACCATAATTTCTCAATCCAGTTGATTGTGGTTGGATATTTGGGCTGTTTTCATATTCTTACAATGGTGAATAACATTGCTATGAACATTGGTGTACAAATTTCTGTTTGTGTCTCATTTCTGATTTTCCTGGAGTATGTTCCAAACCATGGAAGAGCTCGGTCATAGGAAATTTCTCTTCAGCTTTTTGAGGAAATGCCAGAGTGCCTTCCAGAGTGGTTGTACCATTTTATAATCCCACCAACGATGTATAAGAGTTCTAAACTCTCCACATCCTCTCCAACTTTATTACATAATGTCCTGTTAAACTTTGTCACTGCTACTGGGGTAAGATGGTATCTCTGTGGTTTTGATTTGCATCTCTCTTATTGCCAGTAGTTTTGAGTATTTCTTCATGTGTCTGTTAAACATCCAAATATTTTCCTCTGTGAAAAGCCTTGCCATGTCTTTTGCCCATTTTGTGATTGGGTTATCAGTCTTTTTCTTGTGGAGGCCCTGTAGTATTCTGTAAACTTTTGATAAGAGATGGTATTGCCAAATGGTTTTCCCCCCCAAGTTAGTAGGTTTTCTTTTCACCCTGTTGGGAAATATTTTTGATGCATACAGGGATTTAATCTTTAGAAGGTCCCATTCATCAATTTTATCCTCTCCTGGTTGTGTATCTCTGGCTGTATTTGTCAACACTGTTGTTCCATGAGCTAAGCTTTCTAAATTTGGTCCTACTATGTTTCTTATAATCTTTATGGTTTGGGGCTTTACCCTTACATCTCTGATCCACCTTGAGTTGATTTTTTGTGTTTTGTGAGAGGTGTGAAGCAAAATAATTTTGAACAAGAGAACATCACCCGCAGGGGCCCTTGGAAATGGGAAACGATGCAACTTCCTTCTCCCTGGGGCTTGTCACCTCAAAGGAGGACATCCCCCTAAAAAGTTATAAAATGGACTGTTCACTTTTTGAATCAGAGATGCTAATACTCCCACCACTCTGTGGATTCTGTAGTTCTCAGCGGAAGTCACAAGAAGTTCCTACCTGGACCAAGCTATATCCTGTGCGCTGGACGAGTGCACGGAGCGCTGCTTCCTTCTGGGTGCCGCTCAATCCGTCCCCGGATTTTTTATTTGATTCCATTGAGAGTGATTATCAGCAAAAAATCAGGTTAATTAGGGTTGCTCACTGAAACCAAATTTAAAATAAATTAAATAAATTACTGTTGCCAGGTCTAAATATGTCCTTCCCATCAAGGACATCTTCAAGGAAACATTTTCTGTAAATTAGTCATTATGGTCCACGCAAAGAACACATGCAAAACAAGGCTGATTGTTAGGTTTTATTATCTCATTTTTTAAAAATGGGAAAAAAATTGTTCAAGTTGAAATTTAGTAGTTACAAACAAGTTATACCCAACCTCCAATTGCCATGTGGATCAGTAATTTTCAAACCAATTATCTCAGGACATCTCCAAATGCTTAGTAAAAACAAAAAACAAATTAACTTATTTCAATTAAAAGGATATGCTGAATGCTTTTTGCAAATAGGCAATGAAGACATTGTGAGCAAATAAAACCAATTAAAATAGGCTGTAAAAATTCTTAGAAGTTGAGGTTTCTGGGTATACCCTGCGTACTATTGAAGACATTTATTTATTCTCCAAAGGTAAATTCTCAGAACAGGATGTTCCAGATACACAGAAGTCATCTTTCAAATTATTCTATGTAATAAAAACGTGATTCTAACAAAGCAAGAACAATGGATCCCTTTGAGTGGATGTTACAAAAGCATACTAACACCTTCATGTATTCAGAATTGTTATTATCTATGGACAAGTGGGTGGGAAGCTGTGCTGCTAACCCAAAGGTAGACAGTTTGAATCTACCTGCTACTCCCTGGGAGAAAGATAGGCAATCCCCTCCCATGTGATTTATAGCCCTTGAAAACGCACTGAAGGGGTCAATTATGAGTCAGTTACAACTTGATAGCACATAAAAACAATAGCAATATTCTTTCATTTAGTATTTTTAATCAAATGTGAAAAAAGGTATTTGAATACTTATTCTTTTGTTCTGTCCCATATATTGAAGTTTCCTAGAGCCTGAAAGCAGAGGATACCAGAAGAATGTCTATTTATACTTTATTGGTTATGCAAAGGCATTTGACTGTATGAATCATAACAAATTATGGCCAACACATTGAGAAGAATAAGAATCCCAAAACACACATACTTAATAGTGCTCGTGTGAAACTTATACCTAGGCTAAGAGGCTCTTGTATCAACAGAGCAAGGGAACACTGCATGGTTTAAGATCAGGAAAGGTGTACATCAAGATTGTATCCTTTCTTCATACCTATTCAGTTTGAATGCTAAGTAAGTCATTGGAGAAGCTGGACTCTATGAAGAAGAAAGTGGCATCAGGTTTGGAGAAATACTCATTAACAACCTGCATATGCAGATGACACAACCTTGTTTGCTCAAAGTGAGGAAGACTTGAAGCACTTGCTACAGAAGATCAAAAAACACAGCCTTCAATGTGGGTTATATCTCAATATCAAGAAAATGAAAATTCTCACCATTGGGCCAATAAGCAACATCATAATAGATGCAGAAAAGATTCAAACGGCTAACAAGTTCATCTTGCTTGGATCCACAATCAATACACTTGGTACCAGCAGTCAGGAAGTCAGGAGACATATTGGGTTGGAAAAGTCAGTTGTCAGGAACCTCTCTAAATTACTTAGGAGCAGTGACATCAGTTTGAAGGCTAAGGTGTGCATTATTCAGGTCATGTTTTTTTCAGTCATTTGCTATGCAACTATGAGAGCTGGACAGTGAGTAAGGATGACAGAAGAAGAATTGATGCCTTTGAGTTTTGACTTTGGAGAAGAGTACTGACTATCCCAAGGATGGCCAAAAGAACAAATATATCTTGGAGAAAGTATAGCCAGAGTGCTTCTTTGTGGCAACAAAGACAAAGTTTTGTCTCACATACTTTTAGCATGTTGCTAGGAGAGACTAATCCTTGGAAAGTGACATAATGCTTGGAAAGTTGAAGGGTCTGTGAAGTAGAGGAACACTCTTAAATAGATGGGTTGAAACAGTGTCTCTATGTCAGAGATGCCTCTATGTCAGAGATTGTGAAGATAGCACAGGGTAGGATAGGACACAAGATAGATCTGTTGTTCATTGGTTCACTCACTATGAGTCACACTTAACTTGATGGCACTTAACAACAACAAGGTAATAATTTTGGTTGTAATTTTTAAAATTATTTATACATGCATAAATAAATAGACTATTACATAATGGTCAGAAAATAGGGATGAATGTAATAGTAAAAGGAAATAGAGTACAAAAACAAATGATAAAAGATTAACCCCCAAAATTCTGACTCTTATGCATACTTTGAGCCTGGGACAAAACTCACCTCTACTACTCAGACTTATCAATAGATAGGCTTAAAAGGTAAACAATAATAGCAGGAAGGCATTCACTTTTTAGAACAATTGCCGATATAAAATCAAAAGCACAGGAGAATTTGAGGTGCTTGCTGCAAAAGATCTAAGACTAAAACCTTCCATACAGATTACATTTTTTTCCCAATAGATCGTTCTTTTTTATTGCTGTATAATATTCCATTGTATAGATGTTTCACAATTGTTTTCAGTTAGTGGCTTTTACAAATAAAATT